AAATCAAGCAATTAAAGAATGGTACTTTTGTGAGTCAAGGCAAGTATATCAAGGACATGATCAAAAAGTTTGGCATGAGTGATAGCAAAGTCATTAGCACAACAATGGGAACAAATGACAACTTGGATAATGATGCAAGTGGAAATATGGTGGATCAAAAGTTGTATCTATCTATGATTGGAAGCCTACTCTATGTGACCGCATCAAGGCTGGATGTCATGTTTAGTGTATGCATGTGTGCAAGATTTCAAGCCTCACCAAGAGAAAGTCATTTGAAGGCTACAAAGAGGATATTGAGGTACTTGAAGCATACACCAAATGTTGGTTTGTGGTATCCCAAAGGAGCTAAATTTGAGCTAGTTGGTTATTCTGACTCGGATTATGCGGGATGCAAGGTTGAAAGGAAGAGCACCTCAGACACATGTCAATTGTTGGGAAGATCATTTGTTTTATGGTCATCAAAAAAGCAAAATAGTGTTGCACTATCAATAGCCAAATCCGAATACATATCCGCCGGTAGTTGTTGTGCACAAATACTTTGGATGAATGCCACTTTGAGTGATTTTGGAATCAAGTTCAAGAAAGTGCCATTGCTATGTGACAATGAGAGTGCAATCAAGTTAACCAACAATCCGGTTCAAAATGCAAGAATAAAGCACATTGATGTCCGCCACCATTTTATAAGAGATCACCAACAAAAAGGGGACATTGGCATTGAGAGTGTAGGCACCGAAGATCAACTTGCCGATATTTTCACCAAGCCATTGGATCAGAAAGGGTTTTGCAAGTTAAGGAATGAGTTGAACATATTGGATTTCTCAAATATGTGTTGATGCACCCCCACTTATATGACATGCCTCTCCTTCGAGCAATCCAAGGTAAAAGTTGATTGGCATAGCATACATCCTTGCTAAGGACTTGTTTAGTGCATCTAGTCATCTCTCCATTTTATTAGGCTCATTCATGAAAATCAAATGAATTTGATGTTTATATGGTATCACTATTGCTTTTATGCTTGACTTGATCTAGTGATAGCATATGACATGTTTGTGGGCTTGTAAACCTAGTGTTTAATCTAGAAAATGAGCTCTAAATGTTTAACTCAACATGGTACAAGATAACCCTTATTAGGATGTGTGAAGAAGCTTGTCCTTGGATCAAACTGAGTTAAATATCTTTGGCAAATGATCTAGATTGGACCAAATTTGGGAAAATAATCTTTACCCCATTGATTGACATTGATAATCTCTACCTATAATTTAAGTCTTTGTGGTCATTGATGACAAAGGGGGAGAGAAACAAAGATATAAGCGATAGGGGGAGAAATAACAAAGAAATTAGTACATAGGAGAGAAACAAAAGAGATTAGTGTACTAAGATGGTGAAAAGACAACAAAGGGGGAGAACTTGACATAAGGGGAAAGATATGACAAAGGAAAGGGATTAATTAAAAATTTTGAGCACACAAGTAGGGGGAGCAAGCTCATAAACTTGTATGGTGCATTTGAATGTGCATTTCATATGTTTGTTTGCATAACACAAGTTTTAATTTAAATATCCATGCTTGTGTGATGAATGATAGTTGTATACTTGAATGATGAAATGAAAATCTAGCATGCATAGGTTTATTCACAAGTGATATCATTTCCAAGTATTACCAAGTGACATCTAGTCCAAATAAGATTTTCAAGTGGTATCATTTATAAAGTTTTTACAAGTGGTATCTATCTATCAAATGTTCAAGTGGTATCTAGCTATCCTTCCGAAGTATTTTTCAAGTGGTATCTAGCTAACCATGGTGCTAAGGATGGTATAATGGTGCACTCCAATTGGTATCACACTTCAAAGGTCCATCTCTTATACCTTAGCATCATTTGGTAGACATTGTCTCCTATATTTCCTATCTAATCATATGTGCAAGCTACAATCCAAACTCTTAGCACATATATAGGGGGAGCAATTGCTACCATATGAAGTTTATGAAACTTGTCCATATTCTTTTACGCATGGTAAATATGCTTGGACAAACAACATGGATTCAATTGAATTTTAATTCATATCTTTGTATATGGGTTGTCATCAATTACTAAAAAGGGGGAGATTGAAAGCTCTAGTTTGGTTTTGGTGAATTGATGAAACCCTAAGTGCTAACCTAGTTTATCAAGTGATCATGAGATAGGTAGCACACTCCAAGTGGTGAAGCAAATGAAGATCATTGCATGATGAAGATGATGCCATGGTGATGATCAAGTGCTCGGACTTGAAAAAGACGAAAGAGAAAAACAAAAAGCTCAAGGCAAATGTATAAACCATAGGAGCTATTTTGTTTTGGTGATCAAGACACTTAGAGAGTGTGATCACATTTAGGTTTGATAGCCGTACTATTAAGAGGGGTGAAACTCGTATCGGAATGCGGTTATCAAAGTGCCACTAGATGCTCTAACTCATTGCATATGTATTTAGGATCTAGTGGAATGCTAACACCTTTGAAAATGTTTATGAAAATATGATAACACATGTGCACAAGGTGATACACTTGGTGGTTGGCACATTTGAGCAAGGGTGAAGAAGTTAGAAGTGAAAAGGAGTTAGTGTCGCTGGCTATACAGTGACTGGACGCTGGACCTTTGGGGGACCGGCGCGTCCAGCCATGTATAGCAGTGAAGACGCCAGCGTCGGTAAACGACCGGACGCTAGGTCACTCTGCGATCGGACGCTGGAAGGCTGTGTCCGGTCATGTTGTCAGACGACACAGAAGAAAGTCACTGTGTGACCGGACGCTGGAAGGGTCCGGTCAAGCATGACCGGACGCGTCCGGTCGTGAAATATCGTTTCTGGAACCTTACTGGAAACGACCAGACACTGGAGGCTGGGCGTCCGGTCAGTTGTAGCGGAGCGTCCGGTCAACTAGATGACCGTTGAAATCTAACGAACAGTGTTTAAAGCAGAGGACACATGGCGTGCATCACGTGACCGGACGCTGAGGGCCAGCGTCCGGTCGATCGGACCGGAGCGTCCGGTCACCCTGCGTTTTACCCAGTGAAGGGGTACAACGGCTCTATTTCGTAGGGGCTTCTATTTAAGCCCCATGGCCGGCTCAAGCCCACTCTCTTGGCCATTTGCATTGACATAGCAACCTTGTGAGCTTAGCCAAAGCCCTTCCACTCATCTCCATCATTGATTCATCATCTTTATGAGATTTGGAGAGAATCCAAGTGCATTGCTTGAGTGTTTGCATCTAGAGGCACTTGGTGTTCGTGTTTCGCTGCGGGATTCACTTGTTACTTTTGGTGGTTGCCACCACCTAGATGGCTTGGAGCAGTGAGGATCGTCAAGCAGAGAGTGGTGATTGTGTCCGGCTCCGATCGTGGTGACTGTGAGGGGTTCTTGACCTTTCTCCCGACGGAGCGCCAAAAGGTACTCTAGTGGATTGCTCGTGGCTTGTGTGATCCTCATCTTGTGTTGGTTGTGCGACACCCTATTGAGGGTTTGGCGTGTGAAGCCAATTAGCGCGTGAACCTCCAAGTGAGTGAATCGCCATAACAAGGACTAACTTGCCGGCAAGCAAGTGAACCTCGGTAAAAATTATTGTGTTCATCATTGATTCCGAGGTGATTGGTCTTCATTGTTATTCATCTTTGTGATTGATTGGTTTCTTCATCTACATGGCGGTATAACTTTCTTGATCACTCTCTTTATATTACCGTAAACTAGTTGTCAAGCTCTTTAGTGTAGTTAGTTATGAGAGCTTGCTTGCTTGATTGGTGTGGCTCTTTAGTTAGCCTTTGAGAGCATACTAACATAGAGTAGTGTCATAGCTATTGTGTGAATAGATTCTACTTAAACTAGAATTGTGGTAGGTGGCTTGTATTTTGAGTAGGCTAGCGCAAAACTCGCTTCGCCTCATAATTGTCTAATCCTTTTGTTAAGTGTTGTTGTAGAAATTTTATTAGGCTATTCACCTCCCTCTAGCCATTAGGACCTTTTAAGGATTAGGGGAAGAATTATTGTATGAACGCACGCCAGGGACATGCGCTGAAAGGCTCCCTGTTGTTGTACTGTAGGTGCTGAAGGGGCAGGCGCCGAAAGGCTCCCCTACGGCACTGCAGCCACAGCAGGGGCATACGTCAAAGTCAGCCCTATTGTCACATCTAGTCACTATAGCAACATGGTAGCCTGACATGTCTGTGTACTAGAATTAGATGGGTAGAGTTATATATATAGCTTCCCACTGTAACTCAGTAAGGAGAGCGAGTTTAGTTTTGACATCTCCTCTGCAGAGCGCTGGCCAACGCTGGTGTTTGTGCTGTGTGTGTGCTGTTCTCCCTCTACCTTTAGCCATAGTCTGTGGTCGGTAACGCCGGTGCCGTTCCGAAGATCCAGGGGCCAACAATTATTATGGAAGTCGCCAATTGCAAGAATTAGTCTGTAGTGAACTTAGGTGTTTTACTTTATTGCCATACTTATTATTTATTGCTCCATTTAATGGGAAGGGCTAAATATGTAACTGAATATAGATATCAGAAGGCAGCAAGCTAAGATAAACTATTGCCACTTTATTTTCCTTACCCTTTTCTGGCTGTGCATGATAAGTTCTTAGTTCTTTCCCTGAATGGATGACGGGTATATCTATGCCACTTCTTGAAAATAATTTCATATACATATTCTTTTCATAACAGTAGTAGAAATGAATCAAGTACAAAAAAGTAAGAACTTCTTAAACATATCATATCAGAAAGGCATACAAAAAAAGACAGCAAATCTCCTTAAACATATAATGAGATTTTTACTGAAATTGCCATACAACAGTTGACTATAATCCTTCTGGCCCCCTCTCAGCATTACATCTTAAAGCATACAAAGAAAGGCAGCAAATCTCCTGCTGTACTAGGGTAGAAAAAAGAAGAAGAAGATTGGATTGCTAAGTATAGTAGAGATGGCATCATTACTCCATTCTTCAGCTTGTATCACTTGTAGAAAACATAGGTACGGAAGATGGATCACTCTTTTCTTTCGAAAGAAAAATGATTGATAGGCCGCACCTTTTGCATAATTTTGTATTGCATGCGATCAACAAACAAGAAAACAGAATACCTCAACTTCGTAATGGAAAAGAGCATCCCATACCACAGCCAGAATCCAAAAACAATTCCAGCGATCACACAGTAGTACAGCCATTGGTCCTGGCATTCTCCGCCATTTCCCTCATCAAATGCATGTGACGGATCTTGGCAAGAAATGTTCAAAGGAGGTCCACAGAGGTCAGGATTGTTGCCGTAAATCGATGGGTCTATGAGTGTTTGAAGTTGATTCCTGGTAGGTATCTTGCCTGACAAATGGTTGTTTGAGAGATTCAATGTGTTAAGGGACTGCAAACTACTCATGCCTGGAGGAATGGGTCCTGAAAGTTCGTTCCAGGAAAGATCAAGGGACTCAAGATATTTGAGGCTACCAATGTTTTTAGGAATGGTACATGACATATTGTTTCTTGACAGGTTCAGAAATCGGAGGCCTTGGAGATTGGTTAACTCTTCAGGGATGTAGTGCGACAGTGAATTGCCTGACAAATCGATGCCTGTCATTAGCTCAAGTATTCTTTGGAATATCAGCTCTTGTCCCTTCCAGATGATGTCAATTCTATCCTGATAGGTGGACCCATCTAGCGATCCTATACTGGAATTAATTTTCGGATGCTTCATGGATTCTAAGTTTCCCAACTCTATTGGGATCAATCCTGTCAATCCATTGTGGGCCAAGTCTAGCAACTGAAGTTGTGAAAGCTGTGATAACTCCAGAGGAATTTGACCAGTGAAGTTGTTCGAACTAAGTCTAAGGATTTTCAGTGCTGGAGCATCGCTTCCAATTCAGCCAGGAATATCACCATGGAACCTGTTGTTCCCAATATCTACAGTGTCCAGCTGCTGGCATCCCCGGACGACAGTTGGAAATTCTCCAGTGAAGCTATTGCCGGCAAGATGGAGCGATTCTAGAGAACAGTTGTGGGTCGATGGGGCTTCAGGCATCTTACCTGAGAAGGAGTTGTTTGAGAGGTCCATGAACTGCAGAGCCTGCATCTCCCACCAGCAGTCCGGTAGCTCCCCGGTGAACTGGTTGTTGAACAGGTCCAGTATCTGCAGGGACAACAGCCCTGCAGAAGGCCGAACCGGACCTGTTGGAGAAGGTGTTACTGTTTTGTTGCACGGTGAAGCCGTTGCCGTAGAGGCGCCGTGCCGGTGCCACTTCGCCAAAGAATCTGTCATCAATGTCGAAGTCGTCGTCGTTGTCGAGGTCCATGCTCATCGCCAGCGCCAGGTGAGCTGAGGATGATAGTAGCAGGAGACAGAGGCAGAGGTAGGTGAGAAGGCTCTGGGATACTCGTGCGAGATCTGCCATGGCACTCTCGCCTCTCGGTTTCAGCCTTGGAAACCAGTGAAGGATTTTTTTTTCTTGTTCTTTTTTTATATATATATATAAAAGGTGATAGTTTGAAGGCCACTTGACATACGGTTAAGAAACCCGAGTGCAGCTTGGTTGACGACGACCGTGGACTCGCGGTCATGGATTTTGTGGATTACACGGCATCTGCAGGACTGTCAGTGGAATGGACATTGCTGGCAAGACTGACTTCGAGTCAAGGAACAAGTGCATATATGGACTAGCACATTGTGAAATTTGAAAAACACGGCATTAAGACTATCGGTGGGGACCCTCCAGGAAAGAAGTGCACGGCCGCACGATTTGCCACTGGTTTGATCGCCTGACGGTGACCCATAATACACAAGAAAATGAATTTAGGAAGTGGTTTCGTGTACCTTATTAAGAACGATGGATACTGTAAACAACCCAGCAGTGTTCGGTTGAAGCTCTGGATGTCTTCCTCATCAACTCCCTCGGTCGTTTCGCCACTGTCAATCTGTCACGAGCGGCTTGTCGGGATCAAGGTTGGACGGAGGAAGAAGAAGAGAGAAGAGAAGATGGAGAGAGAGACATATTTGATCTAGACCTATTATTTGGCTCAAATTATCAAGTGATGATGGTTGTTCATAAATTATTCAGTTGTTACATAGATTTTCTGCAAAATTAAACTTATTCACGGGCTCATGAACAACCCACCTTGCATATTAACATTGCCCGTTTCTTGTCATACAATGGTTAGGCACGGCAATGCTAAGTCATTCTATTTATTATCATTGTGATGTCAATACAAAAGAAAGGAGGTAACTTTACCAGCTTATGTGGAAGGTGACCATATCGAGATATCCTATTCCTATCCCTTCATCGATCACTCCATCTCACTTTATCCTTCCAACCAAACAAAAAATAGGGATCATCCAATTCCACTAACCAAACAGACAATGTATCCGTCTCGTTCTCGTCCCATCCCAGAAACCAGAGTCAGGACTATCCCGCTCCACCTTTTCTTCCAACCAAACGCCACCTTAGTTTTTGCTTGGTTCACACAAATATTTTCCTTTAAAAAAACTGTAACAACTTGTCGGTGTTTTTTACTGGCAGATATTTGGTTCTTGGGGAACCCCGCTTGGTGCGAAGAACAATCACAGATGGAGACGAGATTTGTATTGGTTCGGTGCCCCCGGGAAGTGGGTAAAAGCCCTACGTCCAGTTGCTACTTGTTTGTATTGCTTGTATTCGGCGAGATTGCGATTACAATATGGCTAGGCCTATGAAAGAGTCGATGATTACAACAGTGAGAATTGCTAGCTATTTATATCCGGGACCAACTTGCCCTACAAGCTAAGGAGTCGTGCCCTAGTCGGAGTCTTGCGCAATCCGGAGATATCCTTCCTTGAATAGGGTCGTCGTGGGCCTTCGGGTCATCTCTGATCCGGAGTAGGTAGTCGGCAATATGGAAGTCAGGGTACCTGGGGGTATGGCATCGACATAAGCCCCCAAGCTTGTCTGTCAAACGCAACTCGACCGTCTATGTGTAGTCAGGATTGTCTTAGTCGGTTGGCTTGAGATCCGGGTGAGGCCGAGAGAGGTGCGCTGTTGGGAGATGAGCTTGTTCTAGTGCCATCCCTGGGTCGTCCTGTCTTGCCAATACCGTTTCACACGCAAGCCAGGGGACGCGAGTCGTCTATCAATCGAAGTGCTGCGTCGGCTTGGTTCCCCGTGAATGCGCGTGGTGGAGATTTAATTCCTTTTTAATTGAGACGGCAGTTGAGATTCCTAGAAAGACAGCTTGGTCCTATTTAATTAGGCCCGCTCGTGATGAATCTGCAACCTCCGTTTCAAAATCTCGTAGCAAAGATGAGGAAGAAAACCGTCGCCGCAAACGTCCTCACAAGGTGCCGCATCTGCTACTTGCGTAGTCACCTGGCCAATCGGCTACGGCATCGTCGTCGAGTAGTACGCCGTCGCCTCCGGCGTCTGCTCCCGTGTTTCCATCCCCGACGTCCTCCGAAGCCCCAGCCCCGGCGGCACCACTGCCACTGGTAATGACGCCAGCAGCTCCAGCCCCAGCGGTCCCAGGCGAGGAAGCTGGGGTCGATGAAGTCGCTTCGCCGAGATTTCGGCCAGGGTCCCGACCCAGCCGGCGCCGTCCGCATTGGAGGTGGTGATCGAGCTCTCCGACGAGGACGAGCCAGAAGGCTCAACACTGCCGGTGGGCGTTGCCCCCGCTTCCCCAGTTGCCTCCACCGCTCCGACGAGGACGAGCCAGAAGGCTCAACACTGCCGATCAAGCTCTCTTTTCCTTTCTTGTAGTTGACAATATAGGGAAATGATTCAATGAATTCACACCATTTTGCATGCCTTCTATTCAGTTTTAGTTGTCCTTTAAGGTGTTTCAATGATTCATGATCTGAGTGTATCACAAATTCTTTAGGAAAAAGGTAATCTTGCCAAGTTTCCAAACTCCGAACAAGAGCATATAATTCTTTATCATAAACTGAATAATTTAGAGTTGGACCACTTAACTTTTCACTGAAGTATGCAATTGGCCTTCGTTCTTGCATGAGCACACCTCCAATCCCAACTCCACTTGCATCACATTCTATTTCAAATGTCTTACCAAAATCTGGGAGTGCAAGGACTGGGGCTGTTGTTAACTTCATCTTCAATTCTTCAAATGCCTTCTGGTGTGCTTCTCCCCACTTGAAAAGCACTTCCTTCTTGGTCAGCTCATTGATTGGTGCAGCAATAGTGCTGAAGTCCTTCACGAACCGCCGATAGAAACCAGCAAGTCTAAGTAAGCTTCTTACTTGGCTCACGTTCTGTGGAGGCGTCCAGTCTCTTACAGCCTTGATCTTTTCTTCATCTACCTCCACTCCTTGTCCTGTAACAACAAATCCAAGAAAGACTACCTTGTCGGTGCAAAAGGTGCACTTCTTAAGGTTAGCATACAATTCCTGTTCACGTAGGACAGCAAGCACACATTGGATATGTTCAATATGTTCATCAAGAGACTTGCTGTAAATCAAGATATCATCAAAGTAAACAACAACAAACTTGCCAATAAAAGTTCTAAGCACATGATTCATCAATCTCGTGAAGGTGCTAGGTGCATTGGTCAAACCAAATGGCATTACCAACCATTCATACAGCCCAAACTTGGTTTTGAAGGTTGTTTTCCATTCATCTCCTTCTCTCATTCGGATTTGGTGGTAGCCACTTCTCAAATCAATTTTGGTGAAAATGATAGCACCGCTAAGCTCATCAAGCATATCATCAAGTCGAGGTATGGGATGTCTATACCTTATGGTGATGTTATTAATGGCTCGGCAATCAACACACATTGTCCAAGAGCCATCTTTTTTTGGAACTAAAAGGATAGGAACAGCACAAGGTGATAGACTTTCCTTTACATACCCTTTGTTGACGAGCTCCTACACTTGGCGCTGAATTTCTTTTGTTTCCTCCGGATTAGTGCGATATGGTGTACGGTTAGGGAGTGGAGAACCAGGAACAAGATTGATTTGATGTTCAATCCCTCTCTTTGGTGGCAGCCCTGGTGGTACTTCCTCAAGAAACACATCTTCATATTTCTGTAACACACAAAAAACAACACTAGGCAAAGTAGAGGGTAAGTCGTTAGTGACAAGAAAATTGTCCTTGTACAGAAGTACATAGAACACAGCATTGGGTTCACTCAATTCTTTTAAATCCCCCTTCCTAGCCATCATCACTAAACCCTCTTTTCCCTTTGGCTCGGTTCTTTGCAGCTGTGGAGTTTTATTTGGCTTTGGAAACACTCCTTCACTATGTTTGTGTGTCACTCGTAAGTGGTTCTCGCTTGCTCGCTGTTTTCTTTTCAGATCATCTCTCACAATCTCCTTCGGTGACAAGGGAAGCAAAGTGATGCGCTCTCCTTTGTACATGAGAACAATCTTGTTGGCGTGATCGCAAATCTGAGCATCTTGGTCATACAACCAAGGTCTTCCTAACAGCAATTGGCATGCTTCCATTGGAACCACATCACACTCCACATGATCATTGTACCGCCCAATGGAGAAGGGAATGGTCACAATATTTGTTACAAGCAGCGCACCACAATCATTTAACCATTGCATCTTGTATGGAGAAGGGTGGTGCCACTGTTTCAGTCCCAATCTTTCAACTAATTCTCGACTTGCAATATTATTGCAGCTGCCATTGTCAATAATGATTTGACACAACTTGTCCTTGATCATGCCCCGGGTGTGAAAAAGATTGTGCCGCTGATTATTCTCTTCTTGGACAGCAGTAACACTAAGCACTCGGTGAGAAATGAAGCAATTGTTGTCTCCATCATCAGGTTGAATTTCATCACCTTTATCTTGCATAATTTCTTCATCATATATTGGAGCTTCTTCCTCAGGTTTGCTTTCAGATTCTCATTCACCTTGCTCATTTATAATCATGGTCCTTCAACTAGGACATTGAGCAGCAACATGTCCTTGACCTTGGCACTTGTGACAAACAATGCCTCGGGTATGGGAAGAAGAAGCAGCAGCTGATGCAGCAGGAGGGGTTGCTGTGCTTGCAGTAGGTCGTCGTTGTTCTTGCTGAATTGCAGGTGAAGAAGCAGTAGAAACCGTTGTCTTTGCAGCACCAATGGATGGAGGAGGCCTAGTAGCAACTCCTTGTGATCTTCCCCCACAAATAGAGGTACCGGGCTGCTGCCGACGCCATGGGGCTGAAATTGATTGGCTCCCATAAGACCTTCTTCGTCCCTCTTGTTGAATTTTCCTCTCGGTGCGCATAGCTTGATCAACAAGGTCTTGCAAATTATGATATGGAAACATCTCAACAAAACCTGAAATTTCTTCATTGAGACCATTCAAAAATCTTGCCATTTTTTACTCTTCATCTTCTCTAATTTCAGATCTCACCAAGAGTAACTCCACCTCCTTGAAGTAGTCATCAACAGATTTTGATCCTTGTCTCAATGT